CACACGCAAGGTGGTGATGATGGTGGCGGCTCCCTCACCTCATCGGTGCTCTGCTTCTTGTTGTCGGCAGTTCCGTCTACGACGTCGTCCATGGTGAACAACGCGTCGCACTCGTCGTCCTCGTCGTCGACCACAGCCTCCCCAGTGTCCATTATCTGAACGAAGGAGGGACAGGGCACATGAAGAGCCGAAGCACGATCGGGTTGGTATGAAAACTACTTATATAACTGAGATAAGAAGCACACTACATGAAGAGCTGAGGGATGATCGGGTTAGTTTCAACAGTATCACATAGTGTGCCATCAAACATCTGATGCCTAGGTGTGGAAGGCTGTGCGGGAAGGTACGTAAGCATCATCCATGGCCCACACCGCAAACCGCCAGCATCACGATCACAATCATGATCAACGAAACAAAGACTGCAAGCGTGCAGACAGATCAATAAATCGCGCCACGCACAATGGCATCACACATCATCGTCAACCAAGTGATGCTCGAGAAACACACCGACAACGGCATCACTCCAGTCGATCTGGGCCGCACTCCAACCCACCCACCTTAATCTCAACGTCGATCTCAAGACCTTTCTCGATGATCAGCCTCAGGACACTCTCCTGTAACGTCGAGGGTAACGTCGAGGGGGAGGACAGCAAGGTTAAAATAAGATGTAAAAGCACGCCAACATTGATTTCACGGGGCGTTATTGACTAGCAAGGCGATACGTAACTACAGTCAATGTCAGAAGCAGTCCTCACGATTGTACCGCATCTCCGTAGACTGTCGTTGTTTCAGTAGTTGACTACAAGGGAATCCCGCAATAAGGTGAAACCACTCGCGTTGTCAAAGAACCGCATCCCAGGAGATCAGGAGTCCACACATCAAGCTGTCTTGTGCACTTGCTTTGTGATACTGGATATTTTTAAACCGAGGGTGCAAACGCCACTGTAGTGATGCCAGCAGCAATACCTTGCACGTGCAGAGTCCGTTGGCAACGGATAGGATGGGTGACTCAGGAACATCTTCACACTCAAAGACAAACGCTAACGCGAGGGAACTTGGATAATCTAAACAATCAAAATACAGAGTGACGATCATTTGCGGTGCCTCGGCGGCTCGATGAGCATGGGCGCGCAGGCCACCAACCACTTTACAACGTCCGCCCTCAAACCGGGATACATTGGAAGCAGGCCAGACCACCTCTACGAACGGAACGAAACGTTGGCATCCTCAACAAAGCCTTGACATGCTGAGCGGTGCAACCAGGCAAGAGGCACACGGTAAGCACAAAACAAGCATTTGAAAACTTGGCAGTTGAAAAAAAAAATGATGTTCCTCGTGACACTCAAAATCTAGGGACTTGTGCAACAGTTATGGGCCCGTTCAAGAACCCCTGCAACAAAACCTGTACAGCGGCCATTTGAAGCTCAACCCTAGGAACAAAGAACAGCAGCACCAACCGAACAAAATGAGAGGTTCTGTGGTGCGAGCGCTAAATGTACAGCAGTACAAGCGTTGGCATTCTTACCTCAATGAGCGGGGCGTACTGCACAACCCGAAGTGCATGCAGAGCGTAGTCGGACAAAACCTCCGCCCTTAGTCTGCGGTGCGGGTAGTTCTGCTTGAGCACGCCGAACAGCTTGGACCGGCCGCTGGGGACGAGGGTAAGGCTGGCCTGAAGCGCCGCGTGCACGTTGTGCTGCCGAGTTAGGGCCGCCGGATCCACGTTCCCTTCACCTGTGGAGGGCAGAATCATAGCATTGCAATGCGATTAGCACCAACCGCGGCGATCTGAGGCACTGGGAGTCAAGAGGATCTCCTCTGTTTGAGCTGTACCATCGTTGATTGACAAGTTCAAGAGCTCGCTACACTCAAGCAAACAGGCGCTGTGCTTGCAAGCGTGAATGTCAGATCGTGAAGAAATTTGCGGTTTACGGGCTCGTGCGTGGCAAACACACAGGACACATGGCGAGGTCGTAAGTCAAGGCCACCTGGCGAAGGTGTCGTACACTATCCGCCATACGAATCGGCGCCCTGGAATGACAAAGTGTGACTTGGTCTTCGAGCCCCCCAGAAAATCCAATATAGACTATACAAGAAAATAAGCACCCAATATACATATGCAATGTACATACAAACCCTACTTCGTACTTGTTTACTTTGTTTCGTCGAAACGATGATTGGGGATGGATTGGTCTGTCTCACAGTCAAGGTCCCGGGGGGTGAGGACGAGATTCCTGACGAGCATGTGCATGGCGGGCACCATGCAGGTGGAGTTGGCCGACACGAGGTGTTGCAGAAGGCCGCTGAAGGACTGCACGATCTTGTCGCTTCCTCGCCAGTCGAACCGGAAGAGGGCATCGACCAGCTCCTTGAACTCGTCGGGTCTAAGCAGAAACAAACAAACAAACGCCAAACACAAGGTTACAAAATAAACAGCAGTCTACGCAGCAAAATTTACTAAGCCAACATTTGGAAAAACGTTTTCAATCCGTGTTTTGGGGTTATGGTTATGGTTAACGATAGGGTCTGCGTGCCCCCTCTCCATTATTTTTTTGAAATACTTTAAAATCCTGCGTAGGCGGTCCGAAAAAATGTTGTAGATACTAGATAGGTTGTGCCTCCTCGTTATACAGCCACGACGAATCAAAGTCAACAGAACCAACTCTTTTTCTATTCCCGCAGACACAGCAGTCCGTGAGGCCCACGAGCGCAAATCAGGCGGAGAGAGAATACCAAGGGGGGGGCATACGAGGACGCCTTGTCATGAAACAAGCGAGGTAACGACAGGCATATATATATATATATATTCTTTTTTTTCTCCCATCATTGGACTCTGTCGTCTGCCCCTCTGGCCCCTATCCTCCATTTCTACCAGCTAGACGACCCAACCGGGGTCACATTGGAAGGGGGGGGGTTGGGCCCCTCCTGCGGTTCTTGCCTAAGATATTTTATCGCGAGAAGGGTACAGCAATCCCTTCCCTCGCGACTTATGAAGTCGATCAAGTTTACTAACACCAAGCTTTGCAGCGCGTCGCTTCCAACGGAGACCAGGATTTAATTGGCGAGAAAAAACTCACTCTGTCGGGACTCGAACCCATGACCTGGCCCTTGTGCATCCTGTTGGACGGGATGGCACGGATGCCACAGGAGGTGATGAGCAGAGAATGTGACCGGAAGACAACGCCTCAACAATCCGAGCTCTCGAGGGATGAGCAGCTGAATCTTACCTCACACAGGACCATGCCGCAAAGAGCGTTGCGTTGCGGAGTAATCGCCATGGAAACGCTTATGTGCATACCATACATGTAGACTCCCACAACACCAAAAGCACTGCTGTGACGTTAGCGCTTGTGTGCTCATGTGTCATTGTAGACTCGCAAAACGATAGCACTACTGGTACTGTATGTGCAGCAAACACAACTGCAGCTTGACAACATGCGGGGGATTGCAATGAAACTCACTGCTGCGAGATGATGGTGACGCACTGGGAGAGTCCGAGGTAGAGGCGCCACAGCGTCTCCGGGTCATCCCGGGTGAGCAGCTGCGCGACCAAGTGCTGGTAGTGGTGACCGTCGCCCTGAAAGAAAGCGTAAGCATCATCCGATCGAACCACGAGGCCATGATACAAAACCTCGTCAATATGATGTAGTCTGCTAGATAGTAGGATGGTGTTTCGAGAATCCTCTCTAGATCCATCGTTGAGGGTGGGTCCTTCGTGAACTGCAGCATCATGGGCTGTCAAGTACCACACCCCATGGGGTGACTTGCACATCAAAGCCCGTGCAAAAGGCCGACTTTTACGAGGTTCCAGAGTAGGACAGAAATGCCTAGAGAAGCAACAATCAACCATCTTATGGAAAACCACGCACACCACTCTTGCGGTCAATGCTGTGCAGGGTGATAAATACGACCGCGCTATTTGCGGGATAGATACAATCTGAAAGGGATAAGCAGTCGGTCGCCCATGCCCAGCAGTTCTGGGGCACACCGTGACCGACTGTAGGCACACCGACACTTGCAGATTGGGCAGGACCACAGGACAGACCCCGTCATCCAAGAGCAAACGAGAACGATATGAAGGCGCCAGACGCACCACACCACCAGCACCCACGAATCTGTAGGCGAAAGCTGCCCATTGCAATGCAGTACAGTTCTTTCATTTCAAGCTCTGCCCTCGATGCTGAAAGGTAGACCACCGCAATGCTGATGCCGAGAGAAATCATGTTCCCCCAGTAAAAAAGGCTGCAGGTGAAGCAACCTGCTGTGGCTGACAGGCAGAAAGAGCAATCTTCCTTTGCGCCTGAAAACGTGCACGTTGAGTTCGACGTACGCGCCTGTTTGGGCTGCCATGACATATCAGGCCAGCAAGCAACACTACAACACTACAACAATACTGCGACGATGGACCATCTTGCATCCTGGCGGGCGGACCTTCAACGCCGCCCCTCCGCCTGCAGCCCCATCCTTATCCCTCTGCCTACACCATCGCGAAAAAATCGCTCTCTCACGAACCCGACAACCTCTGCTTACTCCGGCTATGGAAGACCGAGCTCACCTTCGCCTTCATGGCAAGCGCGCTCTGCAGGAACTTAACGACCGGAAGCAATCCATCCTGCCTGTCTTGAGAGCTGCTGCTGCTGCTGGAGTCTCCCGCTTGCCTGCTGCTGCTACTGGCTGGCCGCGACGAGAGGGACATTTCTTCAGCACCGTCTTCGTGCACGAAACTCGCCGTTCGTGGGAACAAGTGACAATCAACCCCTTCCCCAGGCTTTAGGAAGCTGCAGCGTGTTGTCTGACCACGCCGATGCAGGGGCTGAGGCCCGTGCGCGACTGCTGGCTGTACGCGATTGGACCTTGTTTTGAAAAGGTTGTCATGACGTCACACCGAGAGAATATCCCTGCCTCGCCACTTCCCCACCAGCTTTTACATCAACTCCCTGCTATCTGCGGGGACCCCCAACCCGCAAATAGGTTGCTGCTGTGCATCTGCAACGTGTGCATTCAGCAGAGCACAAAGGACGCGCGCGGCGTTGAGAGGAAGGAAGCGGTTCCCGGAGAAGAGGAGAGGTGCGTCGGAAGATTTCTAGGTAGACGGTGTGCGTGAATGATGGTGCCGGTTGTGTTTCGACGTATCAGCAGCACCTGTATCGACCTCTCATACAAAAGGATGAAGTCGAGAGCTTCTTCATGTACAGCCGATGCTTGTCCTAACCGCCCCACACATAACGACTGCTGCTATTGCTGTATCCGACCTCGCTGACAGGCGATCTGCATCCGCGAGCTGCACGACCCTGAGCGAGGAACATGGCGCGAGTATGGATGGCGCTGGGCTTGCTGCCTCTAGCGAGAGCGTTCGTGGCCCCGGCTGCCGGCTTGCAAGGGGCTGCCCTTTCTTCAAGCAGACAAGATTCTCGTGCAGTTAGTGGAGGGGTGAGTAGGAGGAATGAAAGAGCCGCGCCGCGGATGTCGATCAACGAAGTAGCGAGGGAGGTAGAGAAGCAATGCTTTTGTGTGGATTGCTGTTGATGGTTTGCGTGCGATGTGGCTGCTACATAGGAACGCAGTAGCGCTACAGCGAGGGGGAGATCGAGCCAACCCTGCAACAAATCCTCATGGCGCATGCTCTCCGTTGATCTCCCGCCTCTCTTGATGTATCGTACCACACCGCAGGCTGCCAAGTCTTCCACTACCGAGGCGCCCAGTCTTGGCTGGGATACCCACAAGGTGAGCTTGAGACTGAAACTGCCCCGTGTTGCATTGCGTTCGATGAGGCGATGAGGCTCGGCCCGTGTCTTGGTTCAAAGGCACTACTGCTTTAGGGTAGAACCTATTCCTGCATGCACCCTCTTCGTGTGTCAACACATTTGTCTGTTGTTTTGCCTCCTATGGAGTACTAGAGTATGGAACAAGGGTCCCGCCTTGGTTGGGTACGACGGTCGCAGCACGGTTGCTACAAGCAGTAACACGAAGAAGTGAAGCAACATCACCAATGAGCAAACACGCCCCCTGGCGTGTGCTGCTATTCGAAAAACGCAGTTTTGCCTTCGGCGCAATGAATGGTGTTGGTTTAATGGTGCGACTGATGCCAAGCGGCATCTTCGTCTTTTTGCAATTTTGAATTTTTCTGTTGTATTAACTGTCTGCGGACGGCAACCAAGCCCAAAATAGCCATGTCCCTCGTGTGCGAGTGTACCTGTGTGCAGCAGTGCAGTATGCAGTCGGACGTCGTTCTCCCTACTGGCAGGGTGTAGGCCGGGCATATGAAAGAAACACCGCGCTCGTATTGTAGCTGTGCGTTGTGGTAAGCGCAGTTCTTGTACAGTAGCAGCTGCTGCGATGTGCCTGCTGTTCGTCGGTGTGCACGACAGTCGCGCATGGTGTGGTCGTGTGGTGCGGGGTTGGGGAGGGTGCTGGTAAAGATCGCGCCAAGGGCTGTCTGTGCCTGAGAGAGGAGGGAGAGAGGGAGGGAGAGAGACGGCCATACAGAGAAAACATACAGACAGAACACAAGTTGAGGCAATGGGTTACTGTTAAGTCTATTGAGTCAGTCAAGCCGCGCACGAAGGTGAAGGTAACGACTCTCTTCTCTCCTTGTTCTGATTGGTACAATTGAAGGCAGAGGTGTTTTCTCTCCATGGCGTCGCCGATTGCTTGCTGCTGTTGCTGTTGATGACTTCTTTGAGACGATTGCACCGTCACGACAGCGATTGTTGTTGTTGTTTGTTTTCCCCTTTTCCAGGCGGTGGAAGAGGTGCCGCAGTCACTGGTGCGAGAGCTGGAGGGCAACGAGTCGATGAGGTCCAAGTTCGAGGCCTTGTGCCGCAGGGCTCAGAACGACATCTGCAAAAGGATTGAGGAGCTTGACGGGGAAGGGAAGGTAAGCACGCACAGCAACTACTTTTCCGTGCAAAAGGTCTGGCTGCTGTGGTTCCTTATCGACCGGGTAGTTTTCTCTCTCTGATTGTTGTGTATACTTTCTATGAAGGATTGCCCATACTTGTCGTGAAAAGCGTGTTTGCCGATGTTACGAGCACCAACCCACAAGCGTCGGGCCTTGCGTTGGTGAATCTATGTGTAGGCACGCTCTGTTGGACCGCTACGGGGCTATGGCTGTTTTTGCTGCATCTCGCCGCTGTTGCTGGTCTAGGCGTGTTTGTGCACCAAGGAAATTGCACCGTGAGAACTCCTTGTTGTCCCCTTTTCAATATCGGCGTGCCCTTTCGCCGAGAACTGCTTTCCCACAGGATCCGGCAGCTTGTCGGTTTGAGTGATATACGGTGGGCTTGCTCGATATTGTGACGATGTGTTGATGGCGATGTGTTGATGGTCATGGCCATGATCCTAACGCTGTCGCTCTCTGCGGATGAAGATGAGTTAGCTGCGGTGGTACATGTATGCCTAGGAAATTAACGGTGTTGTTCTTGAGGCTCGTCGCCTATGCACGCAGAATTCGGCACCTCAGCGTGTGTCGGTTGGCGAAATCGCTACGAGCCCGCGACATGGGATACACGGTGTGTCACAGGGAAGCGTCGGTGATGCTGACTTGTGCATCCATCCCATCGTAACCACGGGTGGTCTCACCCAAGACTGTTTTCGCCGGGTGTATCTACTGCATGGCTGTTTTTCTAGGGTTGCTTAAATCGTACATTCTTGTCATCTCTTCCTCTGCCGCTTGCTGAAGCCATGGCTTCTCTTCATCTCTCTCCTCTGCTTGTCGTTTGTTGTGTGTTGTTCAGTTCCAGGAGGACGCTTGGGTGAGACCGAACGGCGGAGGAGGCATCAGCCGGGTCTTGGCTGGGGGAAAGGTGTTCGAGAAGGCGGGGGTTAACCTCTCCGTCGTTTACGGGACCATGCCACAGGAGGTACCGCAGTGCTTGAGATGACGACTGCTTGAATGTTGGCGTGGGATCTCGAGAGAAGAGGCCTTGATGCGATATCCAATGTAAAGTAGCTGCTCCGTGCTTAATCTCCTGCTGTGTGTAGGGTCGCCGGGTGCTGTTACTGCGTTCACAGCAGTGCTGCTGCTAATCCTTCTGGAAGAGATGCTGTTTGTGCAGTAGAAACGCTGTGCTAGAACGGTGGTGAAACGTGCAAGCTTTCCTGGCGGTGTGGGCGGCAGGCGCCTAGTGCTTTTCTTGCTTCCACGGGGCTTGGAGCCCCCCCCACTTTCATTCTGGAAGCACTTGCTAATAATAACCCTTCCCGAAATTGCAATTGCAACGGATGCGGCTCAACAGGCACTGAGGGCGGCGACGGAGCGCGGCGTGGATCGCGCGAAGGGAATGGCGGAGGGGGAGAGAGTGCCTTTCTTCGCATGCGGGCTGTCTTCCGTAATGCACCCAAAGGTGTGCAAACCCTCCCTGCATGTGTCTTCGCTAGAGTTCAAGCCTAACCGTGTCGCTAGAAATGCCAATCGGCGGTGCTGGGGGAGTGTTGGTGTTTTTTACCGCTTGCTTGGTCTTGAACATGCTGGTCTTGAATGATGTAGGTCGAACGTGTCGCGAACACTCGCGCGCAGCGGGTGACCCCAGTCTAGGTTTTCGGTCTTGTGCTGAGTCGCTTTCAAGTAACAGCAGTCGGTTGCATGACAGCCTCGCTAGCACGCACGGGTTGCACCTGGCGCGGCGTAACAAGTGATTTGTTTACTTGAAAGTACTCGGAATGCCAGACGATGTTGGCCCCCCCCCCCCCTCCCCTCGTCAAGCAATGTTTTATCCCTCCGCAATGGAGGGGTGTGTGTACTCATAGTCGTGCATGCCGTAGTCGTTGGACCATTGACCTCGCATCCCTACAAAGCCGGGACGGAGCACGCCGGGTTCTCACCGGACCAGGCTCTCACATCACCAAGCGCGAAGCGNGACCATTGACCTCGCATCCCTACAAAGCCGGGACGGAGCACGCCGGGTTCTCACCGGACCAGGCTCTCACATCACCAATCGCGAAGCGCCATGAGATATTCGGCGAGTCGCATGAACGGTGCGCTGCATCCTGCTAAGGCTGTTCGGCATCTTGTGCTTACTTCCTTGCGTGCGGATGACAGCTGCGGATGGCTTTATTTATTGTCTGGTGCTTTCAGTTCCAGAGACAGTTGTAAGGAGGGGATGGAGAAAACACACCCAACATCGCGCCGTAAGGAAAGTCGTCCGGTGTACTTGGTTGTTTGAGATGCACATTTCTAATGGCTTGTCTCCCCTCCCGCCCATTGAGAACTCAAGGGACAGAACCGCTGTCATTGAGTGTGGAATCGTCCAATCGTCATCCGCAACCATCACATATTTGAGAGCTTTAAGGCAGGCTCCGCGTGCGAGCTAACGCACCAAGCTACACCGAGGCTGTTGGCGTTTCATTTTTTCTGCTGCAGAACCCCATGTGCCCGACGATGCACTTCAACTACCGGTACTTCGAGACCGACGGAGGCGTTTGGTGGTTCGGGGGAGGGACCGACATCACCCCGGCCTACCTCAATGAGGTGAGTGTGGGGAGAACCAGTAGATTTGGCATCACGTGTCTCAGAAAATACAAACAATAGACTAGGCTTCATGTGGTGCAACAAGTTTGTGGTATGCCGTAGACCAGACATGCCGTTACGAAAAGCGAATTTCATTGAATTTTCGTGCTTTAAATCAATATGATCGAGATTCCGTAAAACATCATGTGTAATGTTGTTTCCTTGATCCCTGAAACCACCGTAATAACGTGTTATACAATATGTTGATCAAACAATGCACACACGTCCCCAAAGTTGGCGCCTTGACACATGTAATGATACATTTAGGAGAACCGGTGTTGTGCACAGCCTGAACCTGACGGTGTGTAGGGGAGCGGCCAGCTTTCGGGAGGATGGTAGTTGACTTGGATAGTCGGGGCATGGGACCTTGCTCCAAATCGACAGAGTACAACTTGTGCTAGTTTCCACTGTTCACTTTGATATCCCACGAATGTCAGTAGCACAATCCAGACGAGCACCGTTGTATGCAAGCGGCTTTCAGGATGATCTTATACTTTTACTCCACATGACAAAGACTGGCGTTCAGAATTTCCTGGACGACCCGTACACCCCACAGCTTGGCAAGATTCACGCTCTGCGGCATTGCTTGTGGGTTTCTTTCGTTGGTGATCTCCCCCCCTCCAAATCCCAGAATTAGTAAACTCGAAAGGTTTGTCTCGCGTGGTCCTTGCAGCATGCCGGAAACACCGTTTGCCTTTGGCGGTGTACCTTTCTGCGGTGAAGAGCAGGTCAGTCATGGCGGTACAGTAGAGCGGTAGAACAAAAGCTCTAGCGTTTGCCGCCCGACGGACAATGAGGATTTAAGGGTAACAATTTTCTTGTCGCTTGCGCGGGGCCTCATCGCGCGCTGCCCAGGACGACATGGCACACTTCCACGGCACCTACAAGAAGGTGTGCGACAAGCACGACCCGGACTACTACGCCAAGTTCAAGAAGGTCAGTTGTGTCAGTCGCTTTCACCAGGCTTCGGCATCTTCCCGCAAGAGCAGCAAGGAGAGGTGTGATTGCCCAGTTGGTGTCCTTGCGGGCGCCAGCTTGCGGAGGGTCGTATTGGTTTGGGTCGCCGTCTAACAAGATGTCCTGGTACTGCTGTATGCCTTGGCCGGTCTTGAATTTCGTCGTTTTGAGCGTGTGCTGCCTGCCGAACAAGGTTGTACCCAGGAAGGGCAGCATGCTGTTTCGAACCGAGTCCGCACCACACGCATGGGTTAGGAGACAAGACAGTATTAATTCTTCAGCCTGTCTTGTCATATCCGAGAATATGGCTCAAATCACCAGCCGCAACCAAGAAGCGGCGTTGCCTTCGACCCTTCGATTTCCAAGACAATCAGAGACGGCGCCTGCTGTGTCCATGCGGTTTACTGGCGTGACCGTTTCCCATCTGAACTTTCCCCTCCCCTGCACCAGATTTGCTTCGCCGTTGTTTGTTGGGAGCGAGCTGCTCTTGAAGCATCTTGAAGCATGGCGTGCTTTTCGTACCGTGCGAAGATTATGCTTTCGTTCAACATTTCAACACCGGTGGTGGCTCCGAGTTGCTCTGTGGGCTGGATGAAGCCGACAGTTTTGCGCTTCAACAAGTTAAACTCGTGCATTTTGAGCACCGGCGGTCATCGGTCGCAGCCGACCCGCAGCACCGCAGTTTCCACCGCCTTCGGAGTGCGTCGACTACTGCTGTACATTGCCTTCCTTGTCCCACATGTCAGCCCTGAGGCAGACCGACAAAACAAACGACAGAACTGCTTGGGTTCGGTTTGCGCGTAAAAGCTCTTACCTGCCCTTTTCCGAAGTTTGCAAGAACCGCCGCCTTTATTTGTTTTCAGTTTGTTCACGTTGTGCGTACGCTGCTGGCGTTTTTGTTGTTTGTCAGTGGGCGGATGAGTACTTCGTGATCAAGCACCGGGGCGAGACTCGCGGACTTGGCGGGATCTTCTTCGACGACCAGAACGACAAAGGTCAGCCAGGGATAGTTAGAGAGGGAGAGAGCAGACAAATACATGTACTTAGATGTAAATACTACACAGAGTTAAGGAGATAGGGAGACACACACACATAAGAGAGAGAGACAAAGAGAAAAGGTTACACGAGAGAGCCCAAGGAAATAAAACAAAGTAAGGCCGTCATTAAAGCAGATCATGATGCATAATCTCACTCCAAGACCTCCAAAATACGGAGCGTACTTCACAGAGGACTACCATCGCTGGACATGCTCACAGGATATTGCGATAGCGACACTCGCCTTGTGCTGCTCGGTCCGCTCATTTCAGACCTTTTCAACGCATGGCTGATGGTACAGCAGGCACAGGCGTTCAATGGTTGTGCTTGTTTATCCTCTCCCGCGATTGCTGAGTGACGGTCATGGTCATGCAACTGGAACCTCCTGTCTGCGACTATCAATCGACGAACGAAGTGATCGTATTAGTATTATTCTGCTGACATACCGATTACATACAAGCTGGTTCCCGCAAGAAACCCAAAATTTATTCCCCCACCCGAATAATGAACGCAATTCCTCACATTCAACACACTTTTTACACCATGGTGACCCCCATGCTGGAATTTCGGACAACACCTTTCTGCGGTGTTCAGGCGCAAAAATGTGTCTTGGCCAATCAGCGGCTTTCACGCTGTTTGAGATTCAACAACTCAACATACCGATGCAACACGAACCATCTTCGGTGGGAGTTCAACCCCAAATGACCTTCGAGCTCCAGGGAACCAAAAAAAAAAAACAGAAGTGAAAACGGCCACCGTTGGAGCGAGTTACGCCCAAAAATGTGGGATTCCCGGTGTTGTGGCCCTTTGGCGTCGTCAGATGGCCACCGTTGTACGGAGCAACCGCCCAGAAAGCATCGCAACTGTGTCCGTCGTATATATGAGGAAAGCTTGGATCCCCAAATTTGGCATTTTGACGGGTATTGATGCTGAGAATCCGAAAATATATTCACCATTCACGAAGTTTTCCCGCTCCTACCCGCATATCGGGGTTCTACGGATATAGGACCCCCGGAAGCCGGATATGTCTCAAATAAAAAAAAAGCTGCGCCATATCTCCAAAAAAACGAAGGAAGGATCTGAGGGAAACAATTTTTTTTTCTTGCGTGAACCAGCTTGTGTTGCTTGCATCACCAAGTACCCGGCGACGAAACCTTCGAATGAAACCAAGAATGATTTGTTGCGGAGGAACTGCAGGATGGACCTTGCGGGGGTTCTGCGCATAGAACTCGATGGGTCCGATAGCGACAAAAACCAGTCAGTGTCGTCACACATTCTACTGCGCAGAGAACTCGATGAGCCCGACAACGACAATATCAATGATGTCAACCCCAATAATTGTGTAGTGTCAGTCATGTCATGTATCGCTTGCCGTTAGATACATCTTACACCTTATCCATGGCCTCCTTGGTAGAATGCCTCAACAAACATGCAGACAAAAAGATGAGTCAGTCTGCATTGCCGAGGCAGCCGAAAACAAGCTCAAGCCGGGTGGGTGCTTATTCTGTCTGCCTTTGCTGCTTTCGCCTTTTCGTAAAGAGCCGGATGCCCACATGGCTTTCTCTGAGGACTGCCTGAAGGCAGTGCTAGACGCCTACCCCCCCATCGTGGACAAGCACAAGGACGACGAGTTTACGGAGCAGCAGAAGCAGTGGCAGCTCATGCGGAGGGGAAGGTGGGTGGACCCGATATGTGCTGTGCTGGTATTCCCCTCTGTCGTCGGCGTTGTTGTTTTTTTGTGCACTGTCTTCCACCTCACGAAGCGAGGGCACGTCTTACAGTCGAATTGATACAAGCTTTCCGTGTATTTTCGTTCGCTCTCGAGCCAGGGGACGGGTTGGTGTTGGACGTTCAGTCTTGCCGGTACATGCGTACGTGGGTTTGTCGAGGACGTTCATGTAATAGGAACACTAGTGCCAATGAGTGACGTCCGAGACTGTTCGAAACCGCGGCACCTACATGTAGGCGCATTTCCGCGAAAGGTGCTTTTCGTAACTCTCGGCTTGACTGGGATGAGAGGCATTTCCACGACGGGTCGCGAACAAGTCGCAGGGGCACCGAGCCAATATTAGTCATGTTTCGTTCATGGAGTAATCATGCTGTATTCACTTGCAGGATGGTCGACGTGTCGTGGCATATTTTTTACTTTTAGTATCGGAAAAAAAAAAAAAAATCGTAGCTCGATTATTTTTTGCTCCACAGCAGTGTGGACCAGACACCGGGGAAGGTTCATGTTCAGTGACGCGCAACAACATGATGAAGGCCGACACGTTTCGCATATGATTGACAGTACGGAGCAAAGACGCGCAGCACGCGTCAGCCGTACTTGTAGACCTAGCGCGGGCCAACTATTATAGGGGTAGCGCAGAGCTTTGCTATTGTAGCACGCATGTTCCACACACACGCTGTTTTTTCGCAGCAGCAGCATGCGCATCAACAGATACACGCGTTCAATCACGCGCAGATAAAAAGCGACACACGTCGCAACTGATTGGCAGCGTACTGTAGAATAGACGCCCACCACGGGTGGGCTGTACATGTAGACCTACCGCAAGCCAACTAAGGTTTAGGCGCAGCTTTGGACGCACGTGTATGCATATCGACAGCGGCGCCACGCTTGATACAGCGCACAGCAGTTTTACGCGACCACAACGTTTTCTTTTTCGCGTAACAACTCTCCGCATGTCACGAGACAAAGCACTCTACTGCTGTAGTCTGGTGCGTGTCCCTACCCATCACAACGAAAGCAGAGGGAGTTGCGGCCGCTATCGTGCGCGGAGCACACCAATCTGGAAACTACAATACTGCTTGCTGTGCACCCTCCCTTCCTTACGGTCTGGTTGAGTCTCATCCCTTGAGATGCGTGTTCGTGCGGGTGCTGGGTGTGGAGTAGGTGTTGAGACGAAACTAACACATCCCACACATCTCCAACGCGTAGACTAACACGTCCCGGGTTTAAGGCCGGGTTGGTTGCTCTTGTTTTCGTTTCCCCCCCCTTTTTTCCGCATGCCCAGTCCGGAGCTCCTTACGTTGTTCCTGTGTATGTGTGTCCATCTGAGATATTCCACAGCCGTCACTACTCGGAGGATCTGGTTAATAGGTGCACATGTAGTGTTGTTGTTCATGCACAAAATATACTTACTCTTCTTTCGGTTCCTTGCCATGGGGGCTATGCATACGGTGTTACGTACTCCCCCAAGTATATTGTCATCGCAATTATTTTGTAATTACTCATGTACTGTATCTTCTTTTTCGTTTCTCGGGCCACTATTTTTTTGTGTTCGACAGCAGTATGTACTTCATTGAGTTGCACTCGTTGCTATCGTCAAAAGCTTGCACGAAATATGTAGATGGATCGAATATTCCGCTCCGCACCACAGTACAACATGTACATCGTAAATGATTGACAGCATCGACCGTAGCCGCGCGACACACGTCGGTCGCTCTCGCGGGCCTGTCACACCTTATGCCCCCCCCGCCCACTGGGGGCGCGGGGGCCGATGCTTCACCCTGCTTTGCCCTCTCGCTCTTCGCGAACGTCGTCACGTCTTCACGTCTTCATTGCGTCTTCATACACCGTCCCTTCTTGCTACTAGTGACGTGTCGTCTTCCTTCTTGCTATTCTTAACTTCCCCCCAAACCCTCACCGTCATCCATCCCTGTGTGGCCACCCGCCCCATTGTGGGGCGGGGGGCCAATCCTTAACCCTAGTTTGTAGGCACTCGCGGTGTGGAGATGCATGCCTCCGGTCGACTCCTGCTGTGCCCGTTTTCTTCTTCTCCCTTCAGTAGTGTAGCCTTGGCGAGGATACGTATCATAGCTTGGTTTGGGTTTGGGTTACGACCCCCCCCTTTCTACTTGTCATACTGCTATTGCGCTTACTATCCTCGGAAGGCGCGCCTTTCGCTTGCCGCACACCCCGTACGGGTGTAGCATACAACGATGTAGCGTCAACTTTCCCCCCCGGCCCTCGTCTCTCCCCCTGGTTTATTTTCGGCGTGGTGCTTCTCGATGTCGGACGGGGAATCAACGGCATTTGCTTCCAATGGGTGATCCGAATTACGTTCGGGTGAAACGGATGACGAATTCCGTCGCAATGGTTTCTGGACGCCACGACATCTCGACCACGACAATCGCTACGGGACAACCACCAAACCCCAACAACAAACCAAACAAACTCACACGCGCCAAATATCAACAAGGTACGTCGAGTTCAACTTGGTGTACGACAGGGGGACCGTGTTCGGCCTCAAGACGGGCGGCCGCATTGAGTCCATCCTCATGTCTCTGCCTGAGACGGCGAGGTGGGAGTACGACCATCAGCCGGAGGAAGGAAGCAGGGAGGCTGAGATCATGGAGGTGTTCAAGACGCCGAGGGAGTGGGTATAGGCTACTGCTCATGTAGGCACGAACGCCACCATAGCACGGGTGCACGCCCGAAGTGCGTTTCGGGCCGTTCGTTGCAATGTTACTTCTGCTGTGCGGTGATCTTGCCGTGTGCCTTTTTGTCTCTTTTGAAGTGACCGAGGGAGGCTTGGACTAATTACTGCTGCTGCTTAGTCCTTCGGCGATGTGAGTGGGGGGTTGCAGGCCTGAAAGCTGCGGCGGCTATCATGCCGTCTCAAGGCTCCACAAGCATGTGAGCGCGCCAATCGAGAAAGTTTTGCCATCATTGTTTGGGAGTGGGGCGCAGCGTTTCATTCATGCATCAGATATCTCGTTTTGGTTGCACACGCGTCCACGTTGGTTTTCGTGGACGGCCGATTTTTGTGAGCAGCAGTCTTGGTCGATGATTGACAGCTAAATATATAGTCGCGTTCGTCTGATACTTCGGTCTCATAAAGTCCAAGGGGTGAAGCGGGAAACATTTGTGGTGTGCCCAAGGTGGAATATTTGTGCTACAATGATTGCGTTTAGTCCGCATTTCTCGCCTTCTTCGGTTTTCTCTGGTAGTTGTAGAGGCGCTTCTAGGCGGTTCCACACGGGCTGAGGGAAGACTTGGTGTAAACCGTCCGCCATTAATCGTAGAAATGCCGGCGTGTGCTCGTCTCTGTGGCCTCTGATCGGAGTACAATGAGGTTGCACGAACGAGATCATGGTGAAGATATCGAAGGTGTCGTCTCCATGCCAAAGTGAAGAAGTATTCAGTTGGATTGGGATTGAACTGACCGTCTTAGTTCTCAATTGGAACCATTAACATGGTGCTGGCTGCAACTTGCCGCTTGGGTCAGCTTAACGCCGCATCGTACCAGGCGTGTTTTCTTGGCTGAACGTGGCGAACGTAACTGGCGGACGTCAACGTACGGACCTCGATGATTGTTCGTCCTGTATGCTCCATACAGTGCCACCGAGGGTCCCACATTTTTGGGGCGGGGTGATATTTTGAAGGGTTGTAAAAAAAATTGGGCGACAAACAAGTATGCGTTGGAAAGCTCTAGCCAGCAGCTTTCGAATATGCCTTTCAAAATGGGTCGCAACGCTTTGGATCAAATGTCGTGGACCTATTACCATCGCCACCGAAGGTACTCCACCCCACTCAAACCTGCTTATCTCGACAACCACGCGGTTGCGACCGAAAAAAGTTGCAGATAATTGAAGTCCTCTTTCTGTTCTATTTTATGGCGATGGTTCCATTTCCGAACCTTTTGGACAACATGCCGAAAGAAATCAGGAAGCCAGTTTGAAAAAAAAAAATCATTTTTCACAGTTCCCTTGTCAGATTTCTACCGTAGCGCAACACGATGATATCTCAAGGTGTATCTGCTCGATTTCAGAAACGATCATGGGAAAATGTCCGTCAGCGTTGCAGGTAAATAGATGCTCATTTCCCAAGACATTCCGTTTCTACCGTTGACCTAGGCCCGGACAATCTTGAAAGAGTTCGAATATACTCGAGGTCTCGAGCTCGAGACTCGTACCTGGTCTAGTTTATGTCTTTTTTCCCTTTTTTTTCAGATTTTGTATATCGTTTCCCTATATGTTTATGTTGAAAAATGTATACTATTCCCTTCATACTCATTTTATTTTTTTTGGAACTGGGCCTTATCAAGCCATCATGGGCAATACATTCAGAAAAAAAGTGTCGAAATCCATGACCGTAGTCAAAAGTTATGACCGGTCAACTGAAGTCGGGCCCACAATCAGTGGCACTGTATTGGCGTTGAGTGCACCAAGTTGATTTTCTCGAGGAGATACCCACCATCAGCGTCCACGGAGTCATGCGAACACCGTATTGAGACGACGGCCCTGGTCTTAACCGTCGCTGCGATGTCCCTGCTCAGCATGAACACGTTGGGACAGAATATGAACACCAGCCTTTTCTTTCCTAACCACTCTAACCAGGCCAGTGCAGTACATCGGAGGGGCATGCCCTCCGCACAGACAACATCGTACCCGCATGCCCACCCCCTTTTCCGTATCCATGGCACCCCTGGGCACGAAGGCGCAGCATACCAGCGGTCAACCTTTTGTTAAACACTTGGCATCATCCCCGCCGACTTGTACGAACCTCAAAACGATGGGCGTGTGGCGGGGTCGTGCACGATCTCCCTACACCAGCGCACGACGTTATAGTAGTCAGACTGCGCTCTCTCGCGAATGCGTTCTGAATCAAATGGCACAGTTGTATTCAGGTCAACATCACGGTACCGACGAAGGCTCTTCTGTAGGAATTACCCGCCCTTTCCGAAGACGAAGGAAAGAACTTAGCAAGCGAGGGGCGGGCCTGGAGAGCGGTGTCCCGGTTGAAAATAGGGTTCCGTTGTGTTCGCGGCGCAGACGGCTTCTCGTAGCATGCAGCTGGATGTTCATGCTCAGCCAGATTTCGGTCACAAGCGCGAACACCATACAAAATATGAGGAGTGGTGCCTGAACCCCATACGGGGTGAAGACGGCCATCAGGAACACACTGGCTGGAATAGTCGGCACCATCGGGCCTGCCGTCACAATCATCAGACTAGACTATAGTCTACGTTTGATCCATAAGGGTCCGGTACCCCGCGCCACCATTCTGGCCTTCTGCCTACCCCGCCGATTGGGACTACGCCTGCAGCTGCAGTGAGTCGTCAATGGCGCGCATCAGAGATCTCCCGCACCCCAGAATACTGCTAGGATCATTACGCCCACAATGACTCCTGCAATATATGCGTCCGGTAGCGACAGCCGGAAAAGCGGGCTTTAAAAACTATGATAGTCGTGCGGGGAGCAGGAACAGGGTCAGGCCAACATGGATACGCCAAACCACACGCGACGTACTTGCTCTCTGTGTTTCGGTGTTGACACGTTTTGTGAAGTGGACCCTGATCGATAGTTCGGGTGGCTCAGTTCTGTGTGTTGGGAGTGTAGAGCAGCTCGGCCATGACGGGCCCTGGATGGGTAGAAAATGTGTTGGGACACGTGTTGGGAACCGTCCTGTTTTCTTCGGGGGCGTGCTTGCGCTCGTAAATCTGTCACGGCATCAAGCATGCGTCGCGCTCATCACGCTCAAGGTCACAGGTGGAGGTCGAACCCCCTGGGGCACGCTCCTCCAAGGGGGGGGGGGGG